ACCACACATGTCATTCAACATCATAACTTCATTCAAAGTGGACAGAAACAAAATAAAACTCAACAAAACTGTCCCTTTGTTAGTCTTTACACTGTCATCGGCTCTGGTTTGGTCAAAATAAATCCTTAATTCACTAATGTAGAAGAGAAAAACAGCAGCAAACCACAAGGAAACTACGATAACAACACAGGCAGAGGGCTGTGACATCATTCTCTGCTCAGGACTCCACGATATTCTTACAGCAAAATTAGCAAATTGTTGTTTGCTAATACATTAATGCTCTAAATCTCAGCTCTGACCCAGGATTGCATTCAATAACTGTCTTTTTAAAGCCAATGCCAACATATAGATTATGTATATTAAGCCTGCTTGTCCAGCGCACACGTATAAACACACAAAAACAGCACAAAACAACGCTTTATAAACAACTCCTCCACAAAATATTCATTGTGTGTTGGCTCTCTAGTCAAATGGATATCAGCAGCTCTTTGGGTGTCAGATTGAATAGGAGCCAGAGAGGTGAAAATGTGTATATCATTTGGCGATTCAGCTGACATGGTGACCCCAACAGATGCAAACATCTCGCTCAGTAAATAAATTCTGGTAGTTTTGAATAATATTTCGGGATGGTCTCTCTTTGCGGCGGTCTTTCAGAACCATGGACAGCTCCAGGAGGGGAGGGAGGGAGGGAGGGAGGGGGAGCTTGCTCACTAAGCTCAAATAAGAGATGGATTTCTTCACAAAGCCAGCATCATATGTCCAGAAATCTTCCATCACATATTGGGCCACATAGCATACATTGTGATCTTTTACCACCCATCTGTGCAGCCGACTTTATCTGCTGTTAACAAGGCATCTAGACCTGAGGTAAACCAAGTAGGTCCAAAATGTTGGGAAAAACTGACAAAATGTTTAAGGGAAGAAATTACTTCATGTACAGAGTTTCACAAAGTTTTCAAGTGTCAACTCAAATACTGCAAATTCTGTTGATTTAAGAGGGTTATTGTTCCATGAAACGTCTCAACAAAACCCTGAAATATTCTGGTGTACATTATGACCAAAAATTGGCATGAAAAACTGATTGATTGTTTAATTAGTATTTATTCAGATTTTTCCAGTAAATGTTTCTGTCAGTGATTCATGAATTCCGTTGTGTGGTCTGAAGATTTGATTTTGAAAAGATGCTTTGTTTACTCTATTTACAGCTCCTGGTCCTGGTTTGTATGAATTTATGGCGTCTTTTAAAGCCCATTTGGGATCATAAAAATTTTACTCAGTTTTCCAAACATCTAGATGATTTCAAGGAAGACAGTAGAAATAACTGTTCACATTACAAAGAAGTCTACCAGGAATGTGTGTTTGCGCACATTTGATTGGCTAACACAGTGCGTTGTCTTTTCTTCTTTTTTTGCAAGATGACCCTGCATTTCTTTGCAGGACCCCTCTCTGTCCCCCTGCATCTCCCTCCAGCAGTGGTCTCATTGAAATGAATGTGGATTCTGCAGTCTTAAAAGAATGCTGACGTTGGTCTGAGCAGGATACTAAAAGATTGGTTAACCCATGAATGTTCACAGTGGAATTTTGTAATTTCCTTTACAGCACTTAAAGACTGAGCTAAGCACAAATCTATTGAAATATTTCAAATCAGTCATTGTTATTTGTTATTTGTAGCTTTTTTATTTTACGGGAAAACACCTTTAGAACAATAGGTTAGGAATTTCAGATCAGATTGATAAAGCATATTCTGAGCTGTTGTGATAAAGATTCAGAAAGAAAAATTATAATCTGTTGGTTTTTCTGGGTCCAGTAAATATTTTGTGCAGACTTAAAGGTCCAGTGTAAAACATTTAGGAGGATCTATTGGCAGAAATTGAATATAATATCCATAACAATGTTTTTGATTGGTCTATAAACCCCTGAATATAAGAATCATTATGTTTTAGTTACCTTAGAATGAGCGGGTTAACCCTAACCCTTCCATGGAGGCCTCCATGTTGAACCGCCATGTTTCTACAGTAGCCCAGAAGGGACAAACCAAACACTGACTCAAGATAGGACCGCACTTTGCACTGGGGGAGTCACAATCTGCACTACCACTATATCCTACAAACCTTTCCACCTGTAACAGAAAAAATGCTGTGAGGCTTTTTCTTCTCTTTTTCTACAAAAAATAGTCATTAATGGGATATGGTTAGGGATTCATGGTGGTCCCAATTCAATTTTACCTCCAATCAGTGCAGTGAAGCACCAAAATTTTAAAAGTAGTACAAAACTATGTAATCTATTATTCGTGATTGCAACAGTTTATGAATTATATGCTGATATTTTGGAGATATTACTACTGGGATCCTGATTGTGACATATCTGTATCTGTGGAATTTCCTACCTGAAGCAGGTGTTGCTGAGTTGTTGGAGCATGTTTCTCCTCATCCTGCTCCTTTCTGTCTCCATGTGTCTGTCTGGCGTTGGTCCCTGTGATCCCCTCTCCATATGCTCATCCAGCCTTCTCTGCTCCATTGCTCACAAGGCGTCCATGTGTTTCTGATTCAGAGATGCATCCGCTTAACTCCCAACACGCAGAGGCCTGCCGTCCCATCTGCCTCCCCCTGAGCATCCCAGATTTTTTTTTTACGATGTAGTACCTGTATCAGTTTTTGGGTTGCAGTTATGTAAGCGTGTGTCCTTTGTAATCTTTTGTTTCACCCGGGAGGAGGAGGAGATATTAGAATCATCATGACTTTTGTTCCAGATATGACTTGGCTCTGTCTGTCTCAGTTTGCAGAGCGTGAAATGATCATGAAGTGTATTTTGTTCTTTACAGTGAAGTTTTCATAGGTTTCTTTTGGCTGGGGTATTCCGGCGAGTGCTGCTGCAGTAGGAATATATGGTCAAACATAAATAGATTTTTTAGCCACTTGGGGGCAGCGGAACATGCACAAGCAGACCCAAACAGCTGATCTGCTGTGTAATACAGTGTGCGGCGCAGTTGGGCTTATGCATAGGAATACAGAAGTTCTAAAACTTCTAGCTTTTTAAGCTGTGATCTCAACCAACTCCCGAGGAAATATCTGGTGGGGATTAATCATAGCCTTTTCATTGCTTACAGCTACTTGAGCAGTGAGACTGGAACCAGTACTGTAGTTGGTTCAGTTGTGGGCCATTAAAGCAAAACAATTGGAAAAACAAAAGCAAAACAACACATAACATTTGATCCATTGTTGGTATTAAGAAGTGCAGCTTTAAGATAAAGTAGAAAATATTTAATTAGGTGAACTTATATAATAGACTGAAGCAATGCTGTACCTTTAGCAATATAGGCTGTATTTTCCCGTCTTTAGCCAACCTCTTTTCTTCCACTGAGCTCAGCCAAGCATGAACATAACTTCATCATTTCATTACCCGAAGGGAGAATAGTAACACAAACAGGCTGCTATCATCGCATGAACTGTCAGTGACAGTCTCACAGTTGGCCTGAGCTGTGCGTGTTTGCCTGGCCCAGTGCATGTTAGTGGTGTGGTGTCAGTTCACTGGAGTGGATTGCCATTCTCTGTCTCTCTTTATTTACCTATAGTAGAAGTAGTTTGCTCATTTTCAGGTCACACAAGGCCACAAGACATTACAGAACCCAATTTTTGATCAGAGTCCAAACCGAATACTATACATCCTGTCTTTGATCATCAGTGTCATATAATAAATGGATCTCTTTACCTTTCCAGCAGCTGCTAGCAGTTAAGTATGATTTCATCCTCTCTTCTGTCTCCCTGTATAGTCTCTGCAGAGAGGTCAGGTTGATTTTAGCTTTACAGTTTTTCACGCCATCTTTCCTTTCTTTTCCCCCACTTTGGGATCTCATTGGCAGTCGTCATGTTTTCTCTATAAAGTCGATCTTTGTTTTTGGCCTCCTCTTTTTGCTAATGAGGTCCTGCCGCTCACGCCCTTGTCAGATGGGGAACCTGGGAATCAGAGTTATGCATCAAACTGCTGTGTGGACAGATGGTTTCCATCAGCTCCTGGTAGTTTTTCTGCTCAGGTGTGACTCCCTCATATCGGTCCTGTTGATCCATTCACAGAGAGAAGTGACGGGGGAGCAGGGATAGAGGACGGGGCGCTGCTCTAAAGTGATGCACATAGATACTACAAAACTGCTAAACCGGTAGATATTCTTACAACACCTTAACACAAGCACACCACTTTCCCTTTGAGCTGTGTGAGCAGCGACATAAATCAAACATACATTAAATACACACATACATTTCACATAATCAGCAAACATTTGTTTTAAGCCTCCCAAATATACATGTCAAGATAAACTCAAGGATTAGCTGTTACTTTATTGGTTGAGAAAAAGGTCCTCCAAGCAAATAAGTTTAAGGTTATATAAATACAGATTGAGAACATTAATATATCAGCAAACAACTATCTGCTATGTCAATGGAGTCTGGTGGGGAGCAATAGTGATATTGCAGCTGTTTCTGATCAAACAAAAGGTCTATCTCTGTAGGGATCCTTTCCATGATGTTGTTGTTGTTGACACAATTTTATCCTGTCAGTGGTAGAAATAAGCACTTTTAGTGGACGTTCTTTGACAGGCGCACTCAGAATTAAGTGTTTATTTCAACCAAACCAAAGTTGGTGATTGTTAAAACAGTATATAGACTAATAAAGTTTCAATAAACAATGTTAGTGGACTGCATTGGAATTGGGACCTGACGGAACACAAATCTCGCAGGAGCAGGCGTTCAAAAAATCAACTGTCGGTCCAAAGATTTGGCTTGCACCCACAAGAAAGATGGAGACAGGGTCAACAAATGCAACTGAAAAAAGATTAAAGCAGGGTTTTACAAAACATTAGTAAAGCAAGGCAAGGCTACTTTTTAGAGAAACTTCTCAGTTGTCACTTACACAGTAAAATAATGTATTTTCACCATCCTCACTCCGGCTCCTGGCTCTGCTCTCTCTGCAAACTTGTTTGCCATCAAACAATCACCACTGCCTTCAAGAGGTCTGCACCAACAGCCAGTCCTCGCTGGATCATAGCTCCACTCACGGTTTGTTCTTGTGCTTCCTGCTCTGAAGCTACAGTGGTTTAGTTTGTTAACCAGTTGAGTTAGTTTGGCTACCAGTTTGATTTATTCCTGTTCTCCCTGTTTTCAGGATTACCTGCCTGTCGCGTCACATTACCAAGCCTGCCATCCAGCTCTCACCCCCGGATTCCCTTTGCCAAGCCTGCACCTAAGCCTCCAGCCAGCCACCATCTCACCATTTCACCATTCCCTGCCGGTACTTTTAATGAGACTTGACTTGTTTGTGTGCTCACCTAATCTGCTTGTCTGCATCTGGGTTAAGCCTTAAAATTGGGACACACTGGACAGTGACAATATGATCATTTAGAGCTATGAGACTACAGATTGTAAAAGCATGGCAACCTTAAATTCCTGAAAGGTGTGTGTATGTCTAAAATAACAGCCCAGGGATACTCACTTTTTGAAAAAATTACTGGAGGCCAGTTAATAGTAGAGAGTATGGAGTCATAATCTTCTCTTGCAGTGCCAACAGGTGGGACTGGTGCACTAAGGCAAGGGTTAGTTAAGTAAAAACACTTTACTGTACTTTACTTGAGTATTGTTCTGTTTTTACTTTTACCACCTACAGATTACCCAAATATCTGTACTTTCTAATCCCTACATCTTCAAAACAGGCTTGTTACTTTAGCTTCAATGCATTTGAGGGGAATTATCATTTTGCATCATTGCGTGCCTTCCCAACATCAAGACTGGTGCATATCGCGCATGACGGACGTAACAAGACGAAACAGACCAGAGAGGTGGACTTGACCCTTGAAGTTTCAGTTAGCTTTGCACAGAAACAACTAGTAGAAATGTCCTTCAGAGAAACCAAGAGAGTACTTTTTACTTCTATACTTTGAGTACATTTCAGAGCCTGTACTTTTTCACTTTTACTCAAGTGAAGAAGTTAAATTGGTACCTCTGCTGAATATGGAACATCCCAGGGTACATTATTGAACATTTAACTGGTAAAAACAAAACAATCCCAGTGAGAATAACTTTATTTTCATTGTGAATTAGAAAATGGTAGGCAGGCCACCCAGCACCCTATTATGGGCCACATTTGGCCCGTGGGCCTTAAGTTAAGTATCACTGATTTAGATAATGACATTGCAGTTGAGTCAGCAGTTCCTTGAGCAAGAGTTAAATCCCCCCACACATTCCTGAACTGGAATGACTTCTTCTGTTAACACATTTGGTTTGAAACAACAGTCCAGGCTCCAGATCACACAAAGAACTTCAACTGACTGATTTTGTCCTTGACAAACTGGATCAATAGTTACACTTTATTTACTGCTACTATGTGTTTATTCACTAGAACTGACACCAACAGTTCACACTGCATCCTGAACATCCCATCACCACTTCCATTTTTACATCTTACTGGCTGATGTCCAGTTTCAATTTAAAGGCCAATATTGGCAAACTGACACATCAGTGTAACAGCACAGCTTCCTGCCCACAAAAGTGCTACCTTTCACAAATCCTTCACTCCAGCTATAATTGAACTAAACACTGGCTTTCAGTGCACAGCAGCTTTGCAATGTGTTATTTTGCAAACTCTGAGCCATATGAGCTGTTCTGGATCGCTGCGCATTATTCTGTGGAGACGGATCTCTCTGCTGATGGAGACAAATGGGCCTGGCTGAATTCCTCGTCCCCAGCTGAGGAAACAGAGCGGCTGGCTCATGCCCAGGGGAGTGGACGCTGCAGAGAGGGAGACACTCAATGGAGAAGAGATTTGCAGAATGAGCAGACGTGCCTTAGATTTGAAATTAAGCTCCCTGATACTGATAGCTCCATGGGGACCATCAGGAGTAGGGCTATCATCATAGAGGCTTGCATTATCTCTGATCTGGCTGTAAATCCAGGACTGATGCATTCGGGTCACAAGGATAGCTTCTCGATGATATGAAGGAAAAATCCAACTGTGAAGCCTTGTTGTCAAGTTGTCAAGAGCAACTGGGGTGAGAACTTTCAGCAATGAGACAACCAAACATTACAGAATGCATGCAGTATCCTGTTCAAAAACAGGTGGCCACCAAACAGCCCTGCTCTCCCATGAAACCCTAGCTTGCACATCATTATTTCCCTCCAGCTTTCTCATGATCTAACCCTTCCTCATCATTGTGGACTGGAAATGCCAGACAAGGGAGTCATTTACAGCCGATCTGTTGCTGGAAAGACATCCCCATAAACTATCCACAGAACATGTGTTCTGGTGTGTTCAGACCAAAAGTGGAGTTAATTATTTAATATTTCGCAACCCGTAAATATCTGCCCTTAACGCTGAAATGGGAAACTTCTATCAAAATAGCATAGGTCGTCAAATACTTTGGGTTCCAAGCTACCAACCCAAAGTGTTGGTATTTGATAACCTGAGAATGAGAGTCAATACACAATACACAAACTATTTTTCTTGGCGCTGATTGGTTGTTCATCAAGGCCCGCTGGATTCTTATCCATCTCATGTACTACTGTCAGTATGTAATGAAAGTTTCATAAATAGTCAAATATGACAAAACCTATTTTCATAAACGTTACCTAGTGCAGCTTTAAACTATACGTACGTCGCACTAGAGCACCAGTATCTCAGATGGAATGAAATGGGCGCTACGGCTGACTAGACTCAAAAGCAGTCATTTTATCCAGCAGATAATCGTAAAACTGTTTCAAACTGGATAGCAATACAGTAAAGAAATTATTGAAACCGTCTCAATGCTGGTTTAGTCAAAATAAACCCTTAATTTATAGAATACAATGGGCTTATAGGCTACAATGACTGTCATGTATTATTAGCTAATCCTTGGGGGGAAATGCGACTGTCACCTAAAAGTCCACTAAAAGTACTTGTAATTGCCACTGACACTGTTCACGATTCAGTCACTATAAAAAATCTTCTTATTCGAATAATCTTGCCTCCTGTGTAAACTGTCCATAGCTGAATAGGGTCGACCTACGCTTCTGTATTCTAACGTCGGTCATAATGGTGGGACTTGGAAAGCCTGATATTTTCTGAGGAGCGTGGTGTAAAAAGTTTGAGAAACACAAGTGAGTTTTTTGTTTTATATAAATTGTTTTGTTCTCAAATGTGAAATACAAACATAATATCTCATTGAGTTAAATGTTATTATCATAATGAAAAGTACAAATTTAAGAGAAGGGAAACCCCTCAGAAGTTCTCTTCCTGGTCCGTGTGTGTTCATTTATGTGTGGGTATCCTTGTGCATGCCTGTTGGCATACGTATGTGTGTTTAATGTGTATAAACCTTTCACATACCTGTAATTAGTGTGTATATTTAATGACAGCGAGCCGGGCAGCCCAACAGCTGGCAGCCAGTCGCAGGGCTCCAGTCTGACCTGCTGCTCCTCCATCTCGGGCGGCTCTGCGTGTTAGCAACTGCTTTATGATGGCGGGCAGACGGGTTCCTTTTCTTTCTGCCCCAGCCGCCAGTCGATGTGAGGCATATGTAGGTTCTGAGCACAGCTGCGGCACAGCAGACCGGGGGAAGGCTGTTTATTCTCTGAAGTGAGACTGCAGGCCCGCAGAATACAAAGCCCAGCACACACAACTACTGCCACTAGCTTCCTCAGGGCTACTGGTGGATATTTGCTGATCATATGTGGTCATATTAAAGGATCATGCTCCTTTATTACAAATGTGACATTAATGTATGCAAAAACTAGAAATCAGCCAGTGTATGTCTAAGGCCATCTTATATAGGGTTTATAAATTGTTACTAATGAATAATGAATAACCGTTAACTATCCCCTCCAGACATGTCTAATATATATAGAAAAGGTTTGCTTGGAAGAATGTGTGTCTGATGTGTTTTTCTTCCACAACAAAGTATAATTACCACATTAAAATCCTTAAAAATGCATTGACCTCCAAAATCTATTAATATGCAAATGTTCCCAATTTTCTAAAGTTTTCCTGCTGGGCGCAAGATGTCTCTCCTACTTTACTGTAAAGTCCATTCTCAGTGTATGTACACTGGTGGCTTCAAGTTTCTACATCACACTTGTAGAAGTTGCATACTGGACCTGGATTGACTTCCAAAGTATTTGGGAAACTTTCCACTTTCATCAGATGAATGTGAAACATCCATCTGGTGTCAGACTGCACATACATCATTCTGCACAGTGAAGATCAAACATCACACTGTAGGAACAAGAAGAAACACTGATTTTGGGCTGTCGGTTGTGAAAAATCCCTCCCACAGGTACTCATCCTCCAGCAGAATTCTTGTCTTTTAAGCTCTTTAATTCATAAGGAAGATAATCTAGACCAAAATCAATTGTGAATAGTGCATTAAAATGTGTAACTTGATGGCTCATTAGACAGTGTGGACGTATTTATTAATGAATTATCCAGATTTATAACTGTATCATTACAGAATAGATTAATACCAACCACAGGAATTTTTCAAAACCTGGAAAATCAAATATTATTATTATTGGCATACATCTCATAAATTATTCTTTAACCAATAATAAGGGGCCATAGCCATGAATGGTGACTTATCAGAAAGGGGCACTGTTATGGTAAGATAGTTTTTTATTCTGGATCTGAATTTACACTAAATACATGTTAAGTTATGACATAGTGAGTTTTATTTATTTTTTTAACATAGTAACCACAGCAATTCATTACAATTTACAATGAAAAATGCATCATAGATAGATAGATAGATATTCCTTTATTTGTCCCACAATGGGGAAATTCCAATGTAACAGCAGCAAAGTGGATAGAGGAAAAACAATATAAATAAACAGTAAGTAGGAGTAGGGAAAATAATAAAAACACTATGTGCAAGAGAAAAAACAGCAAGAATCCACAATCATCAAAAGAAAATCCATTGGAAAATCTTTATTTGTTCTTTGGTCCAGAACTAAATTAAAACATTTCTACCAAATTTGGATAAAATAACAAACACGCAAACAAACTGAGAACAAAGCTGTCATGGCGGGTATCCGCACATCATTTGTTATGTAACCATTTTGTTTCTATGAAAAGAAAGAAATACAAATACAAATATTTGACAGCCAGCAGACAGTCACATAAATGTTTTTTTATGTAGCCTTCATTTGATCATCTCATATTTCAGACTAAACAGAAAGATAGACACATACATGACTAAACACATGGGGCAAATTCAAGTTTCACAGCAGAAAAGGGACAGATGCATAGATAGAAAATTAAAATATACATTGATGAATGCAAACACACACACACAAAATGTATGCACCAAGATACTGTGTATAAAGTGAGAGGACAAGGAAAAAATTTTGTGGAACAAAGAAAAGAAAGACTTTGGACACAGAAAAAAAACACTTCAAACTGACTGCAGGAAACTTAGGAAAAGCAGATGACTTCAATAATTAATTGGAAACTCTTCAGTTATGTCAGTGTGAGTCATTGATCAGACAATAAATATGATTAGACCAAAGAACATTTTTTTTTTAGATATTGCTGCATTTACTTAACCCAGGAATTGAAATTTAA